CAGTTATGTTTCTTAACTGAATCCTATAAATTTTTTACTTCTAGATTTAATAGGAAAATAATCCTATTACTGTACAGTCCCCAATTGGGTAGAAAAGCTTTGGAAAACTGCTGTAAAAAAATAGAAGGGGAAGCCCTGGCTGGGTTGGCTCAGTTGCCATTTTTAAAACACTTGCTTTCCTAACAAAACTCTTGTTTCCAATTCATCCCCTTCCAGTCTCTTGAATCTATTCTAGGCAGGATTGTGTTCTCTCTTCTCTACTGTTGAACAGCTCTTATCAAGATGACCAGTGATTATCACATTGTAACATCCAAAATAATTTCTCAGCCCTATTTTACTTCACTTAATCTTCTCTACTTAACTTTGAAGTGCCCCAGCGGTTCTTCCTATTTACATCCATTCCAGTTGACTCTCAGTAACCCAACTCTATATGCTGATGATGCCCAAATTTATATCTGCAGGACATATTTCTACCTGAGCTGCAGACTCACTCATCACCTGACTGATCATCATTTGGATATTTCATAGGCATCTCAAAACTTTCATATCCAAAAATGGGCTCTTGATTGAGACTCTTCTCCCACAGTCTTTTCTACCTTCAGCCTATCCTATTTCCATTAATGACAACTTCATCTAGTTGCTTAGGACAAAAATCTTAGAATTGTTGTAGCTTCTTGTTCTGTCACCTTACATAAAATCTTATTGTCAAATCTATCAAATGTCTTTGACTCTACCTACAGAATATTTCTTTTTTTTATAATTTTCTTTTAAAAAATACATATTTTATTGATTTTTTTTTTACAGAGAGGAAGGGAGAGTTAGAAACATCGATGAGAGAGACATCGATCAGCTGCCTCCTGCACACCCTCTACTGGGAATGTGCCCGCAACCAAGGTATATGCCCTTGACTGGAATCGAATCTGGGATCCCTCAGTCTGTAGGCTGACACTCTATCCACTGAGCCAAACCAGTTAGGGCCAGAATATTTCTTGACTAACCATTCCTCATCACTTCCACATCAACCCTAATTTTAGGCCACTGTCATCTTTTGCTTTGATGATATAGTAGCCACCTAATTTATTTAGTCACCGTACCCTTACTTCCTAGCAGTAGTCTCTCTAATATAGTACCTGGAGTGATTCAGGATTTATTTTAACAAAATGTAATTTAAATTATATTACTCTTAAAATTTCAGTGGTTTCCCTTACTCTGAATGAAATGTAAAGCTTTTACAATGGCTTATGAGGAAATATACAATATATAAGGTCATATATGATTTGATCCTACCTGTCCCCTCCTGTGATCTTATTACTTATTAGAGGCTCAGTGATGAAATTCATGCATTGATAAGGTCTCGTAGTGGTTGCCAGCTGCTGGCTGGGGCCTCCCTTCCCGAAGCTGCCTGCCGCCTCTGCTGGCTGGGGTGTGGCCAGCGGAGGCGAGGGGCTGCGGACAGTTGGCTGGTGGGCCCTGCCCCCTGGTCAAACTCCTGGTCCAGGGGATGGTTTGCATATTAGACATGTTTTATATAGGATTTCTCTTCCACATTCATTTCATTCTAGCCACACAGGCTTCCTTGCTATTCCCTGAACCCACCAAGCACAAACATATTCAACTTGCTTTTTCTTCTGCTTCCAATACTTTAGCCCTTGCTTACTCCTTTGCCTTCTTAAGGGTCAAAGGTCATCACTTTGGCAAAGCTTTTTCTGACTTTCCCTTCTTTCGCTTCCTACCTCTGTTTACCTTACTGGTTACCATAACACTTCACCACCACATAAAATACTGTGTATTTACTTGTTTATTTGTTTTTTCTTCTTCCAACTAAAAAATAAACTCGATAAAGGCATAAACTTAATTAACTCTTAACTGTTTTATCCTTAGAACGTAGCACCATGACCAGCACATTGTAGTCATTTTTTATTCTAAATTTCAAATTATGGACTTAAGTTTTAGAGTACATTCATCTTAAGTGCTGCCCCCTCCCCCTCTTTTTTTTTTTTTTTTTAATTGTTATTGTGGGGTAGGGTCTAGTTGATTATATAAGAACTAGAGATGAAGTCACAACAAAAGGTGTTGATTGACTGTCTTTAACAGAATTCTTAGTAATGTCTTATAAATTACTTAAAATTTTTTTCTTTAGAATAATATTTATGTTGAAGAATGATATACATTCAGAAAAATGTATAAACCATGTGTGTGTAAATTGATGAGTTTTTATAAAATGACCATATAGGAAAAATTAACACCCAGATTAAGAAATGGTGTATTACCAGTAACTCAGAAATCTCCCTGTACTCATTCATTACCCCTGTTAAAGGTAGGCAGTCACCATAAAGTAGTGTTGCCGATTTTGAGCTTAATGGGCAATGCTACTTTATTTATATAAACAATTTTAAAATTGACATTCATTCCTGTTGTTGCCTATAAGCTAATTTTCATTCTTTTCATATATTTCATTGTATGGATGAATGTGTCATGATTTATTTTCTTTTAAAAAATATATTTAACTTTTAATTTCAGGGAGGAAGGAAGAGAGAGAGAGATAGGAACATCAATGATAGGAGAGAATCATTGATTGGCTGCCTCCTGCACACCCCCCTACTGGGGATTGAGTCAGGAACCGAGGCATGTGCCCTTAACTGGAATCAAACCTGGGACCCTTCAGTCCGAAAGCTGATGTTCTACTGAGCCAAATCGGCCAGGGCTCATGATTTATTTTCCCTTTCAGTACTAGTGGATATGAATTGTTTACAGGTTAGGGTGAATTTTTGTACTTTAATGTCATGTTTATGCATTTCTCTTGGAATGAAATTGCTTGGGTTATAAGGTATACATACATAAGTTCGGCTTTAAAAGATATGGTCATTAGATTTTCCAAAGTTGTTACATCTATTTGCACACCTACTCACCATGTGGGAATGTTTCAGTTGGTCCATTACTTTGCTCACAATTGGCCTGGTCTGTTTTAAAGGTTTTAGCTGTTTTGGTGGGTGTATCGGACATCTCATTGTTATTTAATTTTTCTGATATCTATAATATCGCGTATCTTTTAATTAGTCATTTTGATGAATTATTATTTCCTATTCTCCTGAGTCTTATAAATAGTATTTTTCTAAGAATAACTGGGGGCTATTCATACAGCAAGGAAAAAAATTTTTCCTGTCATTTATATTAAGATATCGAGAAAGAAGTAAATTTGATTGCCTAGAACTGAAGACTTTCATTTAAGGTGTCTGTATAAAATTGGTATGCATTTGGCAAAGGGAATTTATTTAAAACTTATTAGATTAATTAATTTTATGATTAAAATTCTAAAATATCCTAGATATGTATGAACAAGTGAAATGGTTAAAAATTGGGTGTAACCTTGTGTCTTTAGTGTGGACCTGTGCATATGAATTGACTCTTTAAGTTATAAAATTTTTCTCTTTATATAACTTGAAGAAAGCATGGAAAAGCAGAAGGCAAAGTCTTTCCAAGAACTTCTATATCTATATTAGAAGTTCCTCCTTAGGGGAGGTTTGTTCATTCAGTCAGATTGTATTTTCTAAGCACTTTTGAATGAAGCATTCATTATCTAAAGGGATATATGAGCCAGTAACTATAATTAATTCTACCAGAAGCTTGAATAAAGGAGATAACATTTGAACTAGTCTTAAAGGATAAGTAGAAGTTAGTTAGATGAAAAAAGAAAGAGCTAGGAAACAGTCCAGGCAAAAAGCATGACATTGAGAAAGAACATGTATTCTGAAAAGGATGAGAATTCCAGTGTTTCAGTACTCAAATTGGAAGAGTAGGCTGGGGCCAGATTGAATATCAAGCTAATGAGTTTGGACTTTACACTGTAGGAAATAGGAAATTAGTGTAAGTATTGAATCAAGAAAGTGATGCCATTGAGTTTATTGTAGGAAGAAAATTTGGGAGGCTGTTCGAACATGGATTGGCAAAAGAGAGATGGGAATGGACTGACAGGACTCACCAGAAGGTCCCTTCTTTTCTCATATTTCCCCCTGATTCTTGATTGTGGTTTTCTGATAAAATACACTAGTTTTAAACTACTTGAGCCATTTTTCTTGATTGTTGGTTATATATTTTAGTTTACTTTAGTATAAATTTAGGAGTTTTGGGGTACATTTGGTATTTTGAGTTATTTTTGCCAATTATTAGTGACATAGATCTAAAATGGTAAATTTTCATTAAGATTTTTAGCTTTCATAAATCAAGATAAAAATTAATAGGTTTATTTTACTGAAAATTGTTATATTCAGTGTTGTAAATTATGTATTATTTCTTTAAAATTGAATCAGTTTTCTAAGAAAAATATACAACTCTTAGTTTCTAGTAGAAAATGATGTATCATTATTGAATAAAGATGTTTAGCTCTTCTGAGTAAAATGATAAAACTTCCTGCCATATTCACTCTTCCTCACCATTGCTCTTTTTGTTTACCAAACGGAAACTGACTTTCATAATTCTCTATACCTCCTTCTACAGTGATGTGGCCATTTTAGATATTTTAGTAATGATTGATTCCAAAATTTAAGTATGTGACTAACAGTTTCAAGTGAATGCCATCCTTTTTTTTTTTTTTTGCATTCACATAGTACCTACAGACTATGCATATTTGATACAGGTTGTGAAAGAGAGGTTTAAGGTTTAAAATTTATTCCAATCTGAATTGACCATTAGATTTTTTTTTTGCCTGATTGAACAATTACAATTGAAGTTTCAGATTGTTTATGATTGAGTTTGCTTTAAAAAAAAATCAGCTTGCTTTTCTTAATGAATCTCTTAAAAAAGTAAGCTGATTGTGGCTTTATTCCCCTGTTGGCTTCATTTTTGGTATTTGGAATAAAGAGATTGTTTTTGAAAGGATAAGCCACAATAAGGAGCAATTTTACATAGTACAGTACTCACTTTACCCTAGGGTGGCTCGGATCTCATGCTTTCTTTTTTGGGCCATTGTGCTGCTTCTGATCTGTATTTGTTTTCATCTTTAGATATTAGGATCAAGGAAGAAGAACCTGATCCTGAAGAGTGGCAGCTCAGTGGTGATTCTACATTGAATACCAACGACCTAACACATTTAAGAGTACAGGTGGTAGATGAAGAAGGGGACCAACAACATCAAGAAGGAAAAAGACTTCGGAGGGTAGCTTGCACCTGTCCCAACTGTAAAGATGGTGGTGGGAGGTATGCACACATTAAACATTTTTTTTTAAAGACTGCTTATATCATCACCCTAATTTTTGAAATAGTGCATGCTATATCACTTAATTATGGGATATTATTCATTACATGATTATTTTGTGTGTATGTATGTATGAGTGTTGCAGAAAAAGTTAACAAAATGTATGAAATTAAAATTTTCAGATCTAAACATTGTTTTTAAAACTAAAATTACTTGGTTGGCTATGTGGGTTTTTTTTGTTGTTATTTAAAACAACAGTGTAACAGATGCCATTTGACAGGCTCATGTCAGAAATCAGCCTATTTGCAAATTGGCAGTGGAATTTGCATAAATACAGTTAAAAATTTGATTCTAGGCTTGAGAATAGTTGTATAAACATACATTCAGAAATAGTTGTAACCATAAGCATTTTTATTTTCAACAGATAAATAATAAGCCTTAATGATGGAAGTCTTTAAAAAATAGAACTGTAATATTTCAATTTAGAGTTTTTAAAAATAAACATTAAGACAGAATAACATGACAAGAATAAAATCAAAACAGACCAGTAATTATATTAAATATGGATGGATAAAGCTTAGTAATTAAGGCATGGAGACTCAGATCACATTTAAAGAACATAAAATCCAGCTTAAAAGGATGGAAAAAGATTGATTAGGCAAATGTTAACAAAGAGAACTTGGACAGCAAGATAGGATTAAGGTAAAAATCATCAAATGGATAGAGAGGGGTATATTGCTTAATAACATAAAGTTTTCACCAAGATTTAGTAGTCATGGTAGCTTTCCCTCACATCTTTGAAATATATATAGCAAAAGCTGAGAACTATAAAGATATACTAACCAAATTCCCAGACATAGGGAAAGGCCTTAACATACCTCTCTCAAAAATGCACTGTTTAAACAGACAAAAATGCTATTGATACAGTTAATGAGTTTGAGATAAAGAGACTTTATTTGAGTAAATCTTATTAGTTGATTTGAACATTGGTCAGTCAGTTAGCAATAAATAACTTCTAACAGTGAGAGATTAGATAGTTTTATAAATGAGGCATAGAGAAGTGAGTGCTTGGATGAGCACATATAACAGATATCTGGTTCCAGGTTCTTGATCCAGAACTTTACCACTATACTGCCTCCTAAGTGGATTTACTTCTGCATCTGATGCTAGATATTTGTATTTACTGGTAATTATTCAGTTATTTGAAATTGTATTTATTTGAAATAGTTTGGTCAGTTTAAGTAAATGGAATTCTTTAGTTAGGCAGTAACTTCTGAAATTGACTTATTTTTAGAGGAACTTTCAAGATAATTGTTTATGCAAGTCAAATTGAGGATCAAGGTCTGGATTGTTTTACTTATTCTTTAAAATGAAGATCTTTTAAAAATGTTTATTAAACTAATGCATGCTCATAAAAATTCAGAAGTAGAGGAGAGTATTAAAAGAATACCCAAATCCTATTTTACCTCAAGATAATGGTTGTGACATTTGTATATATATATATCCTTTCAGACTTTATAAGTATTTTAAAGTATAATTATTTTATTCTCACTACTTTACATGTCTCTTATTTTGAAAATTTTTGTGAACACATTTTCACGTCTATATATTTTGCACCAGTTTTTTTATGGCTGTATAGTAGTCTATTGTATGGATGCATAAAAATTTAACGTCTTTTTTGGGGGGATTTTATTGTCATTTTGATTCTCATGCATACATCTTTGCACATTTGTTTGATTGTTTCATCAGTGTAAGTTGGTAAAAATGGAATTCTTGGATCAAAGGGATTTGTGTGCTAGAAAGGCTTTACCAATTTATTATTTCCACCAGTGGTATATGAGAATATCTGCTTTTCCACACCCTTGCCAATAATGGATTTTATAATTTTTTTCAAGCCTTTTAAAGTCTGATAGATGAAAAGTAATACCTCAGTATTGTTTTATTTAGTGTATTTGTGAGATTGAACATTATTTTACCTTTTTAAAATTTATTTTGTGCATTGTTTCTTTGTCCTCTGTGAATCTGTTAATTTGTGTGTTTGTCATACACAGACATTTTTTCTGATTTTACATTGACTTTCAACTTTATGTCTGTGGTTCGCAAAATGCATTGTTATACAAGTGAAGAATGAGTTTCGTTACTTAGTTTGCAAACATTTTAAAACCCAATCTTTTTTAGTTAACAGTTTTTGTATGATGTCTTTAAAATCTTTTCAATCTGAGAATTATAAAAGTACTTATATTTTTCTAGAAGTTTTGTAAGTTCATTTTAAAATAACTTACCCTAAGAAATCAAAATTGATGTTTGTAAGACATCTTTTACATTGTTTCTTAGAACTCATTTGAACATATGAGTTCTTATATGTTCATATGTATATAGTAGGCACAATTGTATCATTGACAATTGCTGTCTCTAATAAAAGCATAACACACACACACACACACACACACACACACACACACACACACACATATATATATATATATATATATATATATATATATATATATATATATATATTAAATCCCAAATATTCCAAAATGTTTAGCATAGGTGAGACAGGTGGTACATTAAAAAATTTATTAGCCATTTTTCTCTGTCATATTCTTTAAATAAGATATGTGTAATTTAGAGAACTAAACTTAATTTGTTTGCCCTTTTGAACAGGATGTAAAATATAATGAGGTATAAAAAACAGTATTTATTTGGCCATTTAGCCAATATTTGTTAAGTAGAACAAGCCTTCAGAAATTTACTTTAATGGAAGAGACAAAAAATTTTAATAAAGGGAAATACATTGTAAAGGCATTGTTAATGTCGATTTTGTGTAGATTAAACATCAATCCATATTTCGAAAAATTAAGTTATTTTGCAAAAATCTGTTTTCTTTGTCAGCTCAGTCTGTGTCCCATTTCTTCCATCCCAAGCAAAAGAAAGACTTGATTATTTAGCTTTTCTTAATCCCTCTACCTTTAGTTTATTTATTCTATCACTCTATCTTGGCATGATTAAATTATTTGGAGCATGCTTAGGCACTCAAAAATAGTAGAAATTTAAAATTCTTGGGTTTTTCAGATTATATAGAAAGTATTATAGGTATGATTATGATGAAAACGTATGGCTAAATCTTTTGTTACTTGAAGTTTGTTGAGAAATTTACTTCAATTCTTTTCCTTCCTTTACATCATCACATGCCATAAATTCATGCCTAGCACATTTAGTTCTTATCTGGAATAGAATTTCCTTTTTAAATGGAAATTTGGACTGCATTTTGAGCTTTTCCCTTAAATTATATATTTATGTGTGCCCATCTCTATTTTTATTTTCTTTCTTAGATGCTTGTCCTGTTTCCAAATAATGAATATTTCTTATGTCCTTATAATGAGGAATACCTTTAATATCTTTAATAATGAGGAATATCTTTATCTTTCTCTGGCTTCTTGGTTCTTTGAGAACCCAAATTTATTGCTGCATTTTGTTACAATTTTGTGCTTTGTTAGTGTTCTCAAGCTAAATTTTTGCTAAGTTAGTAAAATAGCACTTTTGAGTTTATAAAAGCACATGATTCACCTGAGTTGGTAGTCTTAGGAGAGTATAACAGTGAACCAGATGGGGTTCTCTGTGAAATTGCTATGGTGAACACGATATATAAAATTGGTTTGCACACCAGGAGCCACAAGCATTGCTCTTTTTCTTAGGGCTATTTAAGAATAAGCTAAATTTAAAAAACGAAATTAAAGGAAACATATTGGCTTTGGTTAAGACTTTGGCATTACAGGTGAGCCAGAAAGACCTGTTTCACTCAACTCAGCTCTTTAAAGAGAGTTGTAGAAATTGGGGGTGGACTGGAGCAGAAACTAGAATTGTGTTAGATTATGACATCCTTGCCCTTGAGACAACAGCATGATTCCTCCTTGTCTTTACTTATGCTATTCCTCTGCCTGGAATGCCTTCCCTCCTTTCTATCTAAATCCTACCCACCTCCTCCACGAAGCCTTCTCTAACTACTGGAGCCCACATTGATGTCTCCCTGTTCAGAACACCTATGGCATCTAACAGCCAGCACTGCACCGTTTAGCACTGTTTGTCCTATGGCAATTTCACATGCTACTGAGTGTGAGTACATTAAAATATAAATGTGGGGAAATACGCATTTTTCTAGTAAAATTTGAAAAATGATAGGTGTATTATATACAGGAGGATTTTCAGGCTTATGGAAGTTTTGCAGGCTATAAGTTAGACTGAGATTGGGGGAGGAGGGGAAGTTGGGGGTTCTTAAATGTACCTTTGTTAATCTCAGAGAAACATTGCAAATTTTATATAATATGGTTTTGACAATTGTGAGTCTGAAATGTTACATGTTTTTTATAAACTCATTTTTATTCAGTAACTAGTCTTAATTTTTTAAAAGCTGTAGTAGTATCATTTTGTAGTGTTTAAGATTATTTGAATATCAGTTATGGAATAAAAAAAGTTTTCTTCTTGCTTAGTTTAAGATACCTCTGTTCACCCTTCTAAGCATATATCTCCCAAACCCTGTTCTTGGTATCAATACTGAAATACAACAAATGTCAAATTTTGTGATGTGGAGAAATTGTATTTTATTATATCGTTGATGTATAATTTGGGGTATCTTTGCATGGTTAATATGAAGGAAATTTTAACTGTAAAGATAATTTTTATTTATATTTATTTCATGTAATGCTAAGGGAGCTAAGAAAGCTTTGTCCAAAAATTTTTTTAAAACTTTCTCCAGTGTATATTCAGGGTGTGGCCGTATAAATATATGAGTAAATATGCATAATGTGCCTATCTACCTTTTAATTGTACCTGTGATTAGTTTTGTATTCATGCTTGGTTTATTTCCTTTTTAAATTAGCCAATAGCATGACTTTGAGTAGACCACTTAGTTTTCCATACTACTAAATTGGGATTGGGCTTATGCATAGAATTTGTGAATGGCTCTGACAGAATAATCAATAGCTTTGTTACACTTTTTTAAATATGTAAAATACCCTTTTAAATTATGTAATACTTTAACATATTTACATTTGGACAGCAGTTTAATTATTGAGTAAAATCAACATGTAAAATTAACATGTTTGAAAATTTTTTTATTTAAATTGATGTTAATTGGTCTTGGTTTCTGATTGATCTCATGGTGATAATGTCTTCTATATGAAATGTAACATGATGATATATAAGTGGTAATATCCATTTGAATATTTACATGTAAGTATATATTATTCTGTGTGTGTTTTTTAGAGGTACCAATCTTGGGAAAAAGAAGCAACACATTTGTCATATACCAGGATGTGGTAAAGTCTATGGGAAGACCTCACATCTGAGAGCTCATCTACGTTGGCATTCTGGGGAGCGCCCTTTTGTTTGTAACTGGATGTTCTGTGGTAAAAGATTTACTCGAAGTGATGAATTACAGAGGCACAGAAGAACACATACAGGTTACTAATATTTACTTTTAACAGACAAAAATGACTTATAGGGCTATATACTAACTTGAAAGTTTTTTGTTTTTTAGAACACATACCTGAGCTGAATTTTAAAAATGTGACCAATCACATCAAATTTTTATCTTTATTAACACCAGTTTAAAAACACTAATGTCAAACAAGCCAATATGACTTATCTTATAAAATAACATTTGTTTTCTGCAGACATTGGTTAACTTTTCTTTTTTAGTTAGTGTTTTGTTTTTAATGTTATTGAGTATCTTAAGCCACATTTATGCTATTATTTTTTATGTTAAATCTTTTTTTAAGTTAGTTGTCTGCTTTTGTTGCTTATCTATCTTACTTTTTCATCTTCCGCAACACTTTAATAAAAAATAATTCCTTTTCCTCTGACAAAGTTAGACATTTCACCTTTTCTCTGTTTTAATGTCTAATGTAAGCAAAAGACATTTCATTGAGAAATAACTAAGGCATTGTTGATATTAAGATTCTTTCATTTAATTGTTTTTATATAGTATGTGGTTGTTACATGAAATGGGCCTACGAATGACCCAAACTTAATCCTAATTTATAATTTAGAGATTTCTTCTGCTATCATGTAATGATCAATGTGTTCAGTCTATGTTCAACACTGAAGAATTGAAAAAATATGTAATGTACTTACAGTCCTAGAGAGCTTAGAAAGAAGCAGCATGGTGAAATGGAGGACATTATGGATCCTGAAGTCTCCTAGATCTGGATTCAAATCCATGAACTCTGTTAGATTAAGCAAATAAGCTGTCTCTGACCTCTTTCACACCTCTTATATTGCTTTAAATATTACATAAAATAACCTGTGAAGTATTTAGTATTATACATATTAGATGCTCTACTTGTTTTATAGTTTCTGTCTCTTCAGGTAGGTAGGTAGACAGATGAGTTGTTTATTACTGCAACAGACAATGTAAGAAAGTATGCTTAGAGACAGAGATCATGATTGCTTGGGATAGTAAGGGATTTGGGGGCAATGGATTGGTCTTATGACAGACTTTTCCTCAGTGGAATTTGGTCAGCAGGATATAAAAGTCAATGAAATGGGGGAGGGTGGTGTGCAGGGGAAGATCGGTGACCAAATGTGTGGAAAACACTGGGTAAAAGATGTTTCAAGGTAGCATCTTTTACGACCTTTAATTAAACGTTAACAAGCACCATGCACCTCTTGGGGGGGGCGGTGTAGTGTGTGTAGCATTTCCCAAATATCTTTGATCTTTGTGCCATTTGCCATGGAACATCTCTCAGAACTAATGTTCCAAGAGACACTTTGGGAAATACCGTCTCAGAAGAATAGTATGTGAATAAAAGAGGTGAGGGATCATTTGATATGAAGGAAGATGAGATTTTTAGATATTAGAATTGAGCCATAATCTTAGTTATCTCAAGTTAGCCTTGCATTCCCATACCACTTACTTACAGTGGTAAAGTTTTGTATTGTAATAATATTTGGTATTTAAGGAATATTTGTCTGGTATTGATTTGTTAAGTTAGAAGAGTAAAGACAAGGGTGTCATCGCAATGTAATTCAGACGTGAGGTCTGTTGAGAACCTACCTTGAGTAGAGGTGCTGGAACAGGAGATGGATAAGGCATGTTAAAGAAAATAAATTAAGAAAAGACTAGATTTGTTGATGGATTTCTCTGTAGATTCTTTTCAGGCTGGCCTTTTGCCTTCTAATCCTCTTACATATTAAGTCTTCATAATAGAATTTAGTCTGTCTTTTGTATTAAAAATGTTTTATTCATCAGGGTCTTGTTAACTTTAACATGATATATTGGGTTTGCTCTTAATTATTACAGATGTCATCAGCTAGCCATTTCTTGGGGTTTTAATCTCAATGGACCTCAAGTTTGCATTTTTACTTTTATCTAGAAGTACTCTGTGTACTTGAATTCAGGTTGAAGAGTTGGAGGTTTAATATCATGGGTATAACATGTTAATAATAACCTTAAATATAGCTTAAAACTATAAACTTCTTTAAAGGAATACAGTGAGTCCTCAATGACATCAGTAGAAACTGAGACTTTTAAGTGTGAAATGATGTTTATCAAAAACAATTTACCACAGCTGGCTGACATAAGTGAGAGTTAATAAGTTTCTATGGCATATTTCTGATCACAAAAACATCACTACATAGGGGACAGGCTAACAGGGATCAATGGGGGAAAAGGAGACATCTGATACTTTCAACAATAAAGATTAAAAAAAAAAACCACACCAAAAAACATCACTTCACTGCTAATATTAAACATTGAAATACATTGAAATACACATTCTCTCCCCCCCCCCCCCCTCTCTCCCACACACACACACACACACACACACACACACACACACACACACACACACACACACACACGGGACTTTCTAACCTGCTTATGTCAGGTTTAGGGTTGCAGGTGGCTGGAGCTTCTCTCAGTTGCTCTGTGTGAAAGGTGGGAACCAGCCCTGGGCAAGACCCTCTTCCATTGCAGGGTGCCCTCACACCTACCTCCCCACTCACTCAGACTGGGACAGTGCAGACAGACACACCTGTATATCTTTGGGATGTGGGGGGAAACCAGAGAACCTGGAGAAAATCCACGCAGACAAGGGGAAAACAGTGGCTCTATTAGAAGTCAATTTTTTCCCCCTCATTATTAAAAGAAAACAACTGAACAAAACAATTTTACTTAAGGACCTCCTGTATGTTACAGACTATCATTTTTTAGCTGATACCTTGTAACATGCTTTAAAACAAACTATTAGCATAGTTGAGGTATTAAAATATCTGAATGACAGACTATAATAAGTTTAGAAGACTGCTTTTCATAAGAAAGTAAAGATGACATTTATTTTGAGGGGAAATATTCTATCAGAAAATTGCAGAGGCAGTTCATGAAACTAACACAATGTTATTTGAACTCTGTTCCCTGTCCTTGCCTGTCAGTGTTGGGTTATTTTCTTTCTCAGGGAATTATCAGTCTATTGTTGAATTCTGAAAATTAAGTTACTTAATTTTATTTCTAACAGGTGAGAAGAAATTTGTTTGTCCAGAATGTTCAAAACGCTTTATGAGAAGTGATCACCTTGCCAAACATATTAAAACACATCAGAATAAAAAAGGTATTCACTCTAGCAGTACAGTGCTGGCATCTGTGGAAACTGCACGAGATGATACTTTGATTACTGCAGGAGGAACAACACTTATCCTTGCAAATATTCAACAAGGTTCTGTTTCAGGGATAGGAACTGTTAATACTTCCACCACCAGCAATCAAGATATCCTTACCAACACTGAAATACCTTTACAGCTTGTCACAGTTTCTGGAAATGAGACAATGGAGTAAATATTACACAAATACTTATTCATTGTGGTTATTTTTATACAGTAGTGAGAAGAATATTGTTCCTAAGTTCTTAGATATCTTTTTATTGATGTGCAAAAATTTTTGGATTGACAGTAACTTGGTTATACATGACACTGAAATGCCTTACTTTGTATGATATTCCATAGTATATTAAAAATGGTAAAATTGCATGGGTTTTGTAGGTACTTTTGGAATCTAGAAGAAATGAAATTTTACCGAGTTATATAAAGAAAATTGAATTTAATGCGAATGGTAGTCTAACCAAATGCATCAATCCTGTGTGGTTTAGTGTAAAAATGAGAACATGTTGGTATTTATCTATTGTAAGATAAAAAAGTTGGTGGGTGAAAGAAATCATGTTATGATAAAAAAATTTTTGTAATTTTCTTGATGACTGGAATTTTTATTATGCATAACTGACAAATCAAGTTTCCAAGCAAATGTTACATAGTGTAGGCTTTACTTAGCTTATCAATTTGTCATTTTGAAGCTAATTATTTTAATTAGGTTAACTATGTACAATATTTTAAGCATTACTCTTGTAAGATTTTGAAAACTACATTTTAACATGGAACTCTAGGGATAGTCACCTTTTAAATCCTGTTGAAAAGCCATGTTTAAGATTTAATTTGCCAAAATAATGTCTTGTTAATATTCTTTCAATAACGAAGTTGGGCAATATAACCAATGTTTAAAAAAGTTAAAAATGTATAGGTTGAGGCATTTGGGTGGTAAGAAAATGTTCTAGTGAGATATCCCTTTTCTTGCATATTGGAGGACCAAAAAAAAATACGGTGTATTGCGTCTTAGCAGTGACTTTTTTATTCAATCTTGTTTCCAAAAACCATGTCTGCCAGGGCCTTAAAAGCCATCATGTAAATTACCAGTAAAGTATAACATATGCAAACATAACAAAATCACTTCCATAGTGACAATACTCCAACCATATGGATATTAGTCATAGAAAACTAGTGGTTTTATGATATTTTTTTAAGTATTTTTTTTTTTGTCTAGGTAGTCAGTCTGCACTTAAATATCAACCATTTTCTTTTTTTTTGCTTCTTCCCTTAAAATTTATATGTATTCAGTACATTTAATTGAGAAACGTATGTTTTTTATTACGCTGTATTTTCTTTTTATTTTTTAATTATTGTTTATATTTTCAATTATTAAAAATGTACAAAATAAAGTTTCATTGCTGGTCTTGTAAGAGCTATACAATTTTCCTAAATGTATACCTATAACTGCAGCAGTTCACCTATTTCAAAATTTGGAATTCTGTTCATTTGTTATTCTTAAGACCACCTCAGATTTAAAGGCTACCTTATTGTACGTTTAAAGTGTATTATAACAGTGTGATAGTTAATAAAACACTATTTTTTTTTCCTTTTGAGTTTGTTGTATTCCTATGCAGTTAAAATATTGCAGTGGTATGGGGAAGAAAATCTGTGTTGTTTTTCCTTCAATTTAGCCTTTTATTTGCTGTAGTGTTGATTTCAGACATCGAAATTATCTTTAACAGGTATATTTGCTTAAAAAGGAGAATAAAGGAACCAGCAGATTACTAATTTTTTACTGATGAATGAGATTATTATTAAATAAAACTTTGGAAAAAATATATTTATCTCTTTGCCCAAATTGAGTAATATCAATGCCATTTTGCAAGTCTTGTTTTTTATTTGTTTATTGCCCCTGTTAAAGCAATGTGCAGAATATTTTAATTTATCAAAAACTTGAATTTACATGAAGATTCTTGAAAAAGATAAGTTTTGGTAATATAGCAAGACTTATTAAAAAGGTTATATTTTGAATTTATGTATGTAATTATGATAAAGGCAGGGTAGGAGGAAAGGAAAATTTAATAATTTAACAAAAAACATGTTAAAATTTAACATTAAAATTTAACAAATAAATGATTATATTTTAGGTAATTTTAAGTTAAAAATCCAATTCTCCACATGTATACAATGGAGTAAAGATTTCCATTGTCTGTTTTCCAAGCTCAATGTGACACTATCAATAATATCTTTGAATGCATAGGACAACTCTAGATATACATATAAACATAAATAAAGTTTTTCTTAATGAAACTTTAGCTTGTCATATGAAATATAAGGTCTTGGAATTACAGAAATTAATGGAATGTACAATTATTTTGAAGTAAGGATTAGAATTTGAATCTTCAAACTCCTTTAATTTTTTTAGGATGTATGAAAAGGATTATGTTAGGAGTTTGCTTACTAAGCAAAATACTCATTAAGTATTAAACTTAAGGGATGGTATAGATGTTTTTAAGTATTGAAATTTTACAGTATGTGTGTAAAATTTAAATACTTTTTGATCTACGAGTTTTCAAGCATATTTTATCAGTTCTTAGAGCCTGAATGCAATGAAGAAAGTAAGTAGTCTTGAAAATTATTTAAATAAGTGTTTGGAGTTTTTGGAGTGCTCACTAGAAATATACCAGTGAACTTTGGATCTTTACCTAACAAGAAGTCAAAGTTGGTATTCATCCTCAGAATATGTGGTTTTAAAATATTTCTATATTTGTGTTAAAAAAAACCATGGAATATAATCTGGAAACAATATTTGAAGAATTATCCTGAAGTCTTTTTTTTTTTTTCTAGTTATAAAATTTATTGTGTAGATACAGAGGTCGGCAAAAATAGGCTTATAGTTCATATAGTAAATAATATAAAAATAAACCCATGTATTCACAGCTATGAGCCTATTTTTGCTCACCCCTGTATATTCTTAATTTTTTTTTGTAATTGCTTATTTTTGTAAATGCTAAAGTTAAGATACATTCAGTATATTTACATAGAAATAATTCCTACTTATCAGAATATACTCATCTAGTGGACTAGGTGTCTGTACTCGATGCCTTAATTTAAAGAAAATATCACTTAAGAAAATTTCATTTTTTTGTGAATTGAGAGTCAAGGACTTTAAAAAGCAATTCCGTTAACAAAAAAGCATGTGAAATTTTAATGGCATAAACTTGTTGCAGAAAGTCAGGTTCTCTGTAAGTAACTTTGGGCAAAATAGCTTAAGATATTTTAAATAGTGAAGTTGCTTAGAAATTAAACATATATGTACTTATAAAACTGAAGGCATGTCATATATTAAAATTTTTGTATTTAATGTTTGAAATTTGGGGTTATTAAGTAGTAACATTTGGTTTTAAAATAGGTAAGTTGACATGTTCGTCTGCCTATGAGTAGATAATTTGGTTTTCGTTTTATGCTATTAACTTGATAAAAGTTGTTTTCAGTGTAAAAGATGTTTAAAACTTTTTGCCATCAATGAGTAGTAATTCTTTTTTTTTTTTTCCCCCTCCCTCAAGGATATGTTTGCTTGTTTTTAATAAATGTTTTGAGAGGAAGGGCGGGAGGGGAGAGAGAGAAACATTGGTTGGTTGCCTCTCATACGTGCTCTGGTGCCCCAATGGGAAATGGAACCCAAAACCTGGATATTTGCCCTGACTGAGAATCGAACGCATGGCTCTTCAGTGCACACCATGACACTCCAACCAACTGATCCATACCAGCCAGGGCTAGTAATTCTTTTGTTGTCAATGATTACAAAACAAATTGGTGGATATCTTGGAACAAGATTTGATATTTTAGTAAAATCATCTTTATTTAGTGTTGGAGACACAAAGATAATATTGATTTGGCCCAGTTTCTTGTTCAGGTAGACTTGCATATCACATGCATTGTGGTAAATTTATACTACCAGCAGATACAAAATGTTCTAGAAACTTGGTGGATTCTGCATGGAGGAGTTTTGGAAACTCAGGCAGAGAGAGACATTAGCAAGAAGGGAAGAATAGAGGTACCCATGAATTTGAGAGATTGAGTTGAGTGTCAACGTTTTGGAGGAGGGGATATCAAGTTGAAAAAGAGGTTCAGAAATATGTGAAGCGGAAAGAGTAAGGCAAAGATGAGAGAGATATACAACCCCCAAAGAAAAAGATGAAGAAAACGGTCCCAGAATTCCTGAAAACCACTTTTCCAGTGTTTTGTGCCATTTTGCATTTCCTTTTCCTGATTTCCTGAAGACACCTTTTAAACCTTAAAGAGACTGCTTCACTTCCTCCTTTAGTTTTTTAAGTTTGGGAAGCTGTTATTTGCTACCAAATGCCAACTAAAACATCTGAGATACAGTTCTTTCTCTACAGTGGTTTGAAATCGTTGATGAACTTGGTCCTGTAGAAAATAACAACAAAGCTGTGGTTAGTGCCGGATGAGTCAGGCTTAGATGAGTCAGGAATTTAGTTATGCTGTGTGAGTGAGTCAGAATGGACCTTGAAGAACCAGTGAAATGTTTCCAAGAGAACTGATTAGAAGGCTTAGAAGTCCATCTTCAGTCTGAGCACACACTTATCAAAGGGCAGTGTCTGTGTTTGGTCTTAGGAATGACTTTCTGCCAACAGTTTTATTTTTTATTTTATTTTATTGCAAAAGTGGAAATTTATTGAACACGTATAGACTCCCACACAGGGAGAGGGAAAGAGTCCCACAGAACTGACTCCCATGTAGGGAGGGGGAAGAGTCCCCCCAAGATTAGTTTTATAGTTAATCTCTAACTCCACATAATCGTTTCTTTATATTTTCACTAGGTATTTAGACTCAGGTTTGGTTTGGGCCTTACCTTTAATTGTGTAAACCTACTTAGTTTTCCTCACCCTGATCCTTTACAAATTCTTAGCTAATTGGATCTTCCTCATTTTTACTCTTGGTAACTTTCTGTGGCTTTTTCATTTAATAACTTTCACTATAATGTAGTGCATTGGTTTTAGACTTAGCACACCTGGTTTATGTCCTGGCCCTGCTGCTTCAAGTTATATAACTGACTACCTTCCACTCAGCCTCAGTTTTCTAAAGTCTGTACAATGGGGATAATGCATCTTCTTAGGGTGAAAGAGGAGATTAAGTTCATGCATGCAAAACACATCCATTATACCTGGCCCATAG